AAAAATGTAACCATTCAAAAGCCCGCTTTCTATAGGCCCTAATGACTTCTGATAAGACAAACACGTACATTAGATGTATCTCTGCGCGATTGCATGATCATTACGGGCACGGCAAGCAGAAGGAGAACAGGGAGCACAAGTGTCAGTAGCTCCAGGGCCCAGGACTAGCACTCTAAACTCTAATGAAACTTCAACAATTTTAACAGGATGTTCCCTTTTTTTTAGGGGCTACAGGTACTGCGAAGATTAGTCAGGACAGCTCCTGTCACTACAAAGGGGGGCGGGGGGGGGGAGGTTTATCTGGGGCTCATTTGCAGTACTTACTCCGTTTAGGGACTGCAGGATATTCTGTCTGGATTTAGCAATGTCCTGCAGGATGGCATTAATCTCGCTCTCCTGAAGGTGTTTGTGGGTAAAGCAGTAATGAAGCGGGAGCAGTGACAAAGACAGAAAGCCGCATGCAAAACAAACAGAAGCAGCATGGACCACCCATCCAACATGTAGGAGGATTTTTCTAAAGATTTGAAGCAGGTAGCACAGAAATGGGAACTAAAGGCTAAAGAAATGTTGGCAGCTAGCATGAGGGTAGCACTTGTCAATGACCCAACCGGAAACTCTCGTGATGCCGCTGATGTTTAACCACTACGTGTTGTGATGAAATGTGAACCGTTGAAACTACTTTTCACACAAGAAATATGCTTAGTGAAATAATACCTTGAGAAGGTATTATACTAAACAGCCATGACGCTGTTTATGTAAAAACATGTTTCACTTCTTACTTGTGTTATTTGGCAGCAGCAAAGCAACACAAACTGGGAACATACAACCCCTTATTGAGACCACAAGTGGTAAGTGAAGACATATGGCTTCTGCGTTTGGGCTGATTAAGCCCTTTAAAGATCGCCATTGTTTCCAAGGCTCGTGTAGAAACTCTCCACTGCCCTTTCCAGTCAGAGGAGCAGAGGCAGCTGCCAAACCACCTGACCCCTCTCGGTAGGACGTGCCACTTCTAAATCGAGCAGCTTAACTCTCGTGCACACAGCCGCTCCGGGCTGCAGAGGGCTGGTGATGATGTAACTGTTGCTTTACAGGCCAGTGATTGACAAGGAGGCATGAGCGGAGGAGGAGGAGGAGTCAGACAGGAGAGCAAAGGAACTTCAAAAGATGGCAGCAGGAGACGAGAGGAGAATTTGGAAATAGGTTTGTCTGAAAATCTAAATAACCTCAAGAATGATCAGGTGGATAAACATCAGACAAGGTCCACACTAGAGAAAACAAAGCAGCTTTGCTGATCTTCCTTTGTTTTACAACCATGTGTTCAAGTTTTTGTGTGCCTGCCTGTTTTACCTTTGAAGGAGGTCCGTTGGCTCCCTCGTAGAAGCACTTCTCGGCTTCATCGTAGAGAGGTTTGTCGAACCAGATGTTCTCGGAGGCGAGGCACTGCAGTCCACTCATTTTGGTACTAAGGAGAGAAATCAGAAATGTAGGAGAAATAAGATGCAAAAAACAAAAAAATAGATCTACATCCAACAGCCATGATCAGGGGTTTAGTTGTTTACAGCCAGCACAATAACGAGTGACAGAACACAGCATATTTAGATGCTCAACTGGGACCAGCACATTAAGAGTAACAACCTCATGCAGAGCCACAGATGGAGTTGTGCGTGGAATGGACAAAACAAAGCGTAACGCAGACAGTTCCAACCAAGTAAACAATTAATGTCAGAATAACTGGCATCATCTCTGTAAAACAAAAATAAAAACACTACTGCATACAATGCTAAACCTTCCTTCTCGTTTTGCTGACAGGTTACCGCAGCAACAGGCATCTACACATTCCTCAGTCAGGGAAACACAGTTTGCCTGCTCTGCAAAGTCTGGATTAGTGAACAAAAGGGTTGTCTCTGCCCTCTAGAAACCCCTCTTAGTGATAGCAGGGGTCCCCTTCATTGTGCCATTGTCAAAACAACAACCTAGTTGACCATACGTGCGAGTACATGACGGTTGTAGGCCAATGACACAATAGGTCAGACTTAGCAGCCGTTAAAGAAATGCAAGGGCCTGCTGTGATGCTGACAACAAAATACAAACAAATATTCATCTCCAAACCTGCAGCTCGAAAATATTACACACGGTGCACAAGTTAGCACGAATGCACAAACAAAAATGCATGACAAAAAAAACAAAGAAAACTCAGTTAATTAGCCGGAAAACACACATCCCGTCTCTCCCATTCCCCGAGAGAGGTGCCATACTTGTCCCATCTAGGCCTGCTCTCCGTCTCTGAGAAGACCCTCTTCCTCTGGGTCGGGCCCCTGCTGCCTTTGCCCCCCTGCTCGGTTTCAGAGGAGGTGCGATTGCGGCCTCTACTGTACTGACGGCGGGGGGTCCCGGAGACCTTCACCGTGGCGACGGGGGGTCCCTGATCCTGCTGCGGACCGCGCCCACGTCTGGCCTGGAAGGTCATGTATCCTCTGGTTTTTGGGCTTCTTGGAGGGGAAGACAACGGTCCGTTGCCATTGGATACGAGCCGCCGTTGGTAGTTGCCCTCGGCCTGCTCATAGACGCCGTGGTTGTACATCATTCCATCTGCCTGCATGCCCTGGAGCAAAGGGCTTTGACCATAGGGGCCACATCCTTCCATGGAGGGGCTCAACCCCTCATCTTCAGCCCAGGAGCGGTGGGCCTCTGGCGGACGTGTGCGTCTCCGCAGCCTCCCTGACTGATCTTTGTCTCCGCTGATGACGCTTCTCTCTGTGGGATTATGACCCTGCCTGGAGTTCATCACCGGCACAGCATTCTGAGGGACTCCTCCTGGCTGACGGGACGGCCGAGACTGATCCATTTCTCTACTAAAGGGGTCTCTTCTCTATTCACTTTTGTTTTACGAGGAATAATTAAAAAGGAGCAACAGGTGGAAACTAGATGGCATTAGTTCATTATGAAGATGGGATCACACAAAGAACTTTGCTAGTTAGATCAAACACTTGATATGAGATGCCAATGCGGTTTTGCAGGCAAAGAGACTAGATTGATCAAAAAGCTTACAATTACCAAAATAGAAACATGATTATCCCTTATAGGCAGAGTTCAAACTAACCTCTTTGAGAGTATTTCGTTATTTGGCAGACTGGGACCGATGGGAAGATTTTAACATATTGCCCAACCCTATTTTTGGGGATATGGAATATTGTCAAAACATGTAAAAGCAGGTCATTGATCAATCTCACATTGGACTTTCAAAAAGCAAAGCCAAAACAAATAAGGCAAAATGTAATAAGGCTAACATAATAGCCAACATTTAGGTTAGGATGAGTTTGCAGCATTTCCTCAATATTCTTTTAATATCATAGAATCTATGAAGTTCAACCGTTTTTAAATAGAATAGTAATTTGTCAATTAATTCATGAGGAAACGCTGTTTTTAAATGCATTAAGCATGTTTCTTCTGAAACATTTAAAAACCAAACCTATGCAACATTGTCTGGCTCACCTTTTTTTTGGCATGCTGGAGAAAAGTGTACGCTACCTATTGTGGAATGGAATTTTAAAATAATTCACACACGTTTGAATTATATTGAAAATTATTAACAGTAAATTATATTAAAGACAATCCATGTGTCTTAACATGCAGGCAGAAACCATCAACAAAAGACATCTTTTACATTTTCATGCATTAAGAATACATAATTACATGATATTCAAAAAAACATTTTTCAAAACATTATTTGTGCCAGATATATTCTCTCAGTTGCCAGTTGGTTAGGTACACGTCACCTAGCATCAAATAATGCAGTCAACAGCCCTGTGATCAATCCTACCTTCACATCGAGAGGGGATCACTTCCGGTCATTTTGAAGGCTTCAGTTTTAGGTGTGAAAATAATCTAAAAAGGAGTTTTTAATATTGTGTCCAACCCACTAGGGCTGAAACAATAGGTTGATGAATTGACAGAAAATGTATTGTTTAGGTCAATTTTCAAGCAAAAACAACTAACAAATGCTTGCACTAGTGGAAACGCAGCAATATCCACCTGCAGGTTGTTAGTTAACAACCTGCAGGTGGATATTGGAGCGTTTCCTCTGTTTTATACCAGTGGATACAATATCTGCGTTTTGGAGTGTTGGGTGGGCACATCAAACACATTAAACATGTGGCAGTTGGCTTTCTGAATTGTGAGGATGGGCATTAACAAAAAAATAAATAATCCTAATAATATATTCAGAGAAAATGAAAAAAACTGATTTGGAAATAATGATACTGTAGTTAGTAGATGAATCACTTTCCAGTAAAATGCAATATTGTACATATCTACAGCCTCCAAAATGACCATAACGTTTAGTTAACTTCTCTCTCAAACAGTTTAATTAAGATCACATGGTAACCTTCACAAAGATAATATTGTAAGATGATATATATACACGACTGCATTAGTTTTAGCTAGGAGACCATTATCTATCAACTGAGAGCAAAACATTCAACACAACATTTCGAGCGTAAGACAGCAATAAACCGGTGCATCGTCAGCTCAAAAACAGCTGCAACATCAACACTCACCTTTGGTAACGGCAATGGGAAGCTAATGCCCAACAGAGAAATAAGAGAAAATACACATAGTTTCATAATCTACAAAGCCCTCAGGAAAAACAATCACAGGACTATTATTTATTCAATATTTGGGGAATGCCAACAAAAAACCCTATAACTTAGTCAAAAGCAATAGATATAAGTTGTACAGTTCACTGTATAATTTTAAACAAGTGTTCATTTCATGTATAATACCAGTCACAAAACAAGCAAATGGAACAGCAATAAGAGTTAAAGTTGAGTTGGATTTGTTACAGGGTCACTTTGACACTGACAAAAGTTAGCTGCCAATAGTTTTTCTGACAGCACCAGCAACTTGTAGCTAGTTAGTTTGACCACGTGGCGCTTGAAAACTCCAAACTATAACGTCTTTGTGTGTTTTAACAAACAGTGCACTTTATGTTGTGTCCTATGCCGTATATGAACAACTCTTCTGCACTTACTATTGGCTTTATTCGACGTTTTATGGCTCGGTAAGCGTTCCTTAGCGTGGTGCCTCGGCTGTAATCCGAAGGGAGAAGAGGGTTTGCAGTAGCGGACCGCCTGTATTCTGCAGTTACAGAGGGGGAGGGACGTTAGCTTTTACACGACTTTATCGATGATTTATGCGTTTATTTAAGGTTTATACAAAATCGTACTACATAAAAACGCACATTGAAACAAGTTATTGTATATTAACATTGAATGGAAGAGGGGATCTGTGTTTTGGTACTATTAACGCCCAACATTTTGATTAGTACAATCCGTTATGGCCAAAGACTTCATTTCCCAGAGTTCCAGCTGTTTGTTCCCCATGTGCTGGTTGGGCCCAGGCCCAGCCTGTAATGTTTCATGTTTAGTTTGAACAATAACGCATGTAGTTTGTATTCTTTTTTCTTTTGAGTTGATTATGAACTTCTGCCTTAACACCTTTTTTAAAATAAAACTGGGCAACAAGTTGAAAAAAATATATAGCCAGTTTACATTTGAGCTACTTGTGGATTGAAATCCCAATTCCTCCCTTGTCCTGCAGGGGGCAGACTAATCGAGCCAATTCAAACTGTTATCCAAAAGTTATACATGGCTACTGAATTGTATGAATCTTTTGGACAGAGCAGAGAACTAGTTTGACTTGATGAAGGTTGAAATATTTTCAATTCAAGCTGAATTAATCTTGTTTTCAGCGTGGCATTAGTTACTCCTAATAAATGCATTGAATCTATTCCAGGCCGAGAGGATACATCTGTACAACATCCTTCTTTGACTTTGTTCTTGGAAGGAGAACAACAACAAAGACCTTATACAGCAAATTATTGTCCTAGTTTGTTATTAATTATAGTTCTTGAGATTGTATTTCTTTATTTTGGTATTATGTATGTCACATCTGAGTGATAGATTATGCTTCTGGGCTATGTTCTGTAGTGTGCTGTATATATAGGGCAAAGCTATCTCCACACATAAAAGTTCACATATTTGTTTCAAATATTGTCTAAAATCCTTTGACATAAGTGTGTCTGACTCGATACCAAAGGTCAAAGTCTTTGGGCTGAAAAATTTGAGTTTGCTCCACTGACGATGAGGCGCTCACCTCGTGGAGCCTTCAGATGCTAAACTGAGCTGACAAACCAAATTAATTTCATATTCCAGCACTGCTAACAGATATGACCCAGAATTTGAACATAACTTGTCAGAAAGAATTGACACACAGCAAATGTCATGGTAAAACAATGTGAATGTCTCATTTTTACACAGAGAAGAGACAAATTGTATACCACTGACATCAAATATGAATGGTTTGCTTTTGCGTTTTTTAGGAAAGAAAATTACACTCAAGTGCCTATCCTGTGTCTCAGCCTCAAGAATAATACTTTTTTTTTTTATTTGGTGACATTCCTCTTTTTAACAATGAATTGTCTTGCAGCAGTGACAAGGATAAGGAAAACATGAAAACTACTGAGTCAACAATATATGAGGGAGAAGACTAACACTGATCTTGCTTGGAGCAAGGCCCAAAATGAAAACAAAGAGATGCCTAATTACTAAAAGGAGAAGTGAAAGAGGCAACAAATACTTCAATTGGAAATAAAGCAACACAAAATAGGTTAAAAAACGAAAACAAAGAGATGCAAAAAAAGAAATAACCACATGACTGAACAACACAGACTTGAAGCGACCTAAAAAAAGATCCCAAAAATCACAATGAGACATAAAATGGAGCATCAAGACACAAAAGAAGCACACATGAAGACGTATTTGGACCTTTGTTGTCTTTTATGCGATGAAACTTAATCTCTTCTAGGCTTTGGACTATAGGTTGGACAAAAAAAGACATTTTAAGAAGTCACTATAATTTATCGATTCATCAGGAACACAATCAGTAGATTAATCAATAATGAAAATAATTGACTGGCAGCCCTATAGTTACAATCACTGATTACATCTGTAGTAGCTTGTGTAGACAAAAGCTTGAATAGGCTCCATGAGCTGTTGTGGGGATAAACACCGTTGTTTTTTACTTTATACAACATCCTCTCCACAAAATTGAGAGGAGTGATCAAACAGGCAACGCAAAGCTTGGTTTGTATGCAAACAGCCATGTGTTTGATAAATAAGCCATTAGCCAGGAGGCGTAGGTATACACACCTTTTGTTAACCTGTGGTTTAGGATTACCTTTAGGGGAAGCCCAATGCTAAAGTGATGATGGTAACTTGATAACAGTCTACAAGAGGTTTGCTTTTAATTATTTTTCAAGCCAGTGGGATACCATGTTTCACACTGAGGGACACAGGTTAAATTGTACTCTTTGTGAGGAGCTAAGCTGCACACAAATTCTCCTGAAAATTAATCACTAGCTCCAGAGGAGTATTTGAAGGTTGAATGCTATTCTGTTATTCTGTTGGGAACAATTCCACCTGTTCACTTCCACATTCACACCTGCTAACAGTCTGGCCTATTTGTACGTCATTGGTCATAAACAAGCTCCAGTGGAACAGAATAAATATACATTTGTCTTGATGATTGAGGTTATTCATTGATCCTGAATGGTTGGGATAGGTTGTCGGTCGCAACAGTTTCTGAAAGGTTTTGCAGATATAAGGTTTTGCAGACACAACCTCCTTTTAGTCATGACCCACCTCGCTCGGCTTTTAGTAACCACATCCTCTTTGTTTTGGGCCCCAAGGAAGTGACACATTTTGCCCATATAATCTCTCCATATAAAACAAAAAATCTTTAAGGACACTGTAATAAAATAAAGTTAGATAGCAATAAAATAAAGCAGTAATTTACAGCGAA